CGATATATTTTCATATCCTGGCAGCAATGCGGGGTAGATAGCAATGGATGATATTGAGGCTCTCATTCATTCTCATGTAAACTCAAATCTAACCGCATGTACACATCCCCTGCTTCCTTTCCTTTTCCCTCTCAGTTTCTACTCTGACCTTTTTCATCTCCTCCCAAACTCCTAGGTCTTCCTCAACCCTCATTACTGATATTTTGTTTTCAATTTCTCTCCTAAAGCTGACTCCAATAGAAGTTTGCATTCTTTTCTTCCCCCATGTCCAAAGCCCGCCATAGCTTGTTCCCACTTATTTTTTTTTTACTCTCAACCTGTCAGTTCCCAAGAATCTCTCCATTCAGGATGGTATCCTGCTCGTATTCCGTTCTCATGGTTTCCATCTCCGTGATAGAATGTAAACTCCTGGAGGGCAGAGATCATTTTTATTTTTTTCATCATATTCCTAGCATCTAGCACGTAATTGAAGTTTAATAAGTGTTTATGACCCACTCACTAGCTTTAGCTTCTCAGTAGCAGGGATCGCAGGCATTTGCCATGAGCCCAGAAAGAGGCTTGTTAAGATGCATAAAGGCAGGAATTTGAAATGAATTTTTATTCTTACCTTTACCCCTCTCTTTCATTTGCATGGGAAATCAAAGGGCCTTGGAGAATTGGGGCGGAAAAATACAAGGGTCCTGAGAGCCAACAACTCTTGTGGTTGTTTCTTTGACAGTGCCCACTCCCACATAAAAGATGGTATTTGAGATCATAGTACTCCATAAGCTATTTATTGGGAAAGACAAATGCTTTCTTACCTTAAGTCAGATGGTTGTCGGGGAGAGTGGACTACAATTCAACACAAGACAGAGTAGATTAAAAAACAGATTACTTTTAAATGAGCTCTAATTAATTGGCTGTCTATTCTGCATTCCAAAGGGCCTTGGCTTCTAGAGGGAAGAATACTTCTAGGGGGGGAAAAAAGAGTCCCACACAGCTAAGACTCTAAGAACTAATCGATTTAGTGCAATGGGAAAAATGGAAAACTTAAAAGTCCCAAAGCTGGAGTCACTAGATGAGTTTAAATCGTGGTTTTGTCATTTGCTGCCTTCCTGACTTTGGGCAGGTCTTTTTACCTCTTTGAGCCTCAGTTTCATCATCTGGATGATAGGGTTTTAAATTCTAAGGCCCCTTTTAGCTGTATACCTATTATCCTATAAATTTCCTCCCTTATGAAGGAAAAGCAGCTAAGGGCTTTTCACTTTGTGTTATGCCAATATGTAAAGACACAAAGCTTAAACCTCTGCATCCTAAGCTAAGAAAGGGATGGTGAAGCCCATTCTTCTTTTTAATAAAGAATAAGTAGCTTCTGGTTTCAACTAGCTTGTGGGAAAAGAAATGGCTGGTAGAGAATCTGGCACCAGGGGGCAGGCCAACCCTGTATTATGGTAGGACCCTAGTAGAATGTAAAAGCCTCAAGGGCAGGCACCTTTTGTCTGTGTTTCCTTAGTCCCTAGCACAGTAGCATGCACGCTATAGTTATTTAATACGTGCTTATTGGATTTGATACAGATCAGTCTGGATTAGTCTCAGAGCTGCAGCTAGAAACCTGGGAGGCCCAGTTTACCATTTCTCTATTCACTAAAGCTCCTATGAGCAAGCTTTTTAGCTGCCAAACCCAGAACAAAGGCATTATCCTTCATGAGAAGAGGGGTCATAGGAAAGAAAGGGTGGTGGGAGGGAACTAAAGATTGATGACCTTGAATAAGATATTTCCCCTTTTGGGACTCACTTTCTTCATCTGGAAAATGGATCAAACTTGAAGGGAGTCAGGTCCCTTCTTTCTCTAATGCAGGTAGGGAGGCTCAAAACCTACATATCATCCCAATTTTGAGACAGGATACCCACATCACCCTTTCTTCTAAAGATAACCTGAGGTCTTTCAACTCCAGTGATGAACTGCTCAAATGTTCACACTGTGCTACCAACACCCAGCTGAAATAGAAAGATAATATTTTCAAAGCATTTCCCCTTTTTTTGGGGGGGGTGCCACCTTTTGAATGATGCAGTATTTGAAATCTATTTCAGGAAACTCCTACAGTCCCTTGGAAGTACTAAGCATCCCATTCCAGTTCTGTGAGAGCTGCTAGGGTTGGAAGTGTTGCTTCAGCTAAGGGCAAGACTGCTACCAATCTGTTTTCCAAAAGACAAGCCTCTTCTTCCATTGATGTCAAACCTACCTCCCAAAATAATAGGATGCAAGAGTTGGAAGAAAGAGCCATAGCTATCTAGTCCAACCTGGTTTTGAACCAGAATGCCCTTCTCCATTATTCTGGACGAGCTGTCAATCAGCTGTCACCTGAATGCCAGCAATGATGGGGAGCTAGCTCACTATCCCTCCTCCCTCTGTTTCTTCCCCCACCTGAGCAATCCATTCCATTGTTGAACTGTTCTCAGGAATAAGACTTTTTTATTCTCATTGTATTAAAATCTGCCTCCTTATACCACTCATAACCTTTGCTTTTAGTTATACTTTCTGAGGTCAAGCAGAATATGTCAATCATCTCTGTTCCCGTGGGCAGAATCTCTTGATCTTGTACAAGATTCACTAACACATATGTAGCCCATTCAGAAATGGTTTGTAAACTGTTGCTAATAAAACTACAGTAGCCTCTAAAATTGCTCATTTGGTCATAATAGAAGGCTGGCATCTTGCACATGGTCGTGGGGGCTTTCTTCATCCCAGACACCAAGTACTTGTCAGCATATGTCTAACACTGTCAGGCAAAGAGGTTGCCTGGACTGACCAAGACAAGTAATCCCCAGCCCTTGGTAGGTGGAGGAAGCACCAGGACGTGGGTGCTTAAAAAGAAGTGCCCTCTGAAGAACCCCTTTGCTCTCATTATATACTCATGAAATTGCTGTGGCTTAGTGGTTGTGTTTCTAGAATTTGAGTCAGGAAAATCTAAGTTCAGATCCTACCTTAGATATATTAGACTGTGAGCTTCTTGAAAGCAGGGACTATTTTTCCCCTCTCTTTGCATACTAGGGCTTAACAAGGTGCCTGGCACATAGTAGACCCTAAATAAATGATAGTTGACTGACATAATGCTAACCATGTGACTCTAGGCCTCTATATGTCATGTCTTAATTTCCTCATTGGTAAATAGAAGAGGTTGGACTCCTTGACCTCTAACATTCCTTTTTGGCTCTGACTTTAAGATCCAGTGAAAACTGAAAAGTCATGACCCATTGACATTAAGACTCTGGTTATTTAACACTTATTTCTCAGTGTAAATTAATAAA